TATAGATTTTCGCCAATGAATCTTGAACAGTAAAATCAATTTTTGGTTTTCTTGTTTTAAATAAGTTTGAAATTTGAAATAGATTCGATTTTGGGTAAATTTTGAGTTCTTGGATTTTTTGGAGAGGGCTAATGAGAAAGATTTGCGGTTTATGGCCAGATTCATCACCTGAAATGTAGAGGGAAGTTATTGGGTTGCCAAAAGGAATAAAGGGAAAGTTCAGTTTGAAAACCAAACGACAAGTTTGACGCCGTTTTAGGTTTTTCACAAAATAAGGGTATATAAGTAAAAAAAAGTAAAAAATTGACTTCAAAACAAATAAATTTTTTGTAAGACTTATCTCCAAACAAATCCATCTGGGAGACCAGCTTCCAAATTTCCCTAAAACATATCCCCTAGTCGGCTCAAACCCTAGCTAACCCTCACCCAAAAACCCTACTAATTACCAGGAGCCTTATATAATCTCACCCACACCGTCTCGGATCCTCATTCCTGCTCATCATCTCTCTCCCGAAGCTGCGCCTGTTTTTCTTTAGGTTTGAGTCTCTCTCTCTCTCTCACACACGCACAAACACAAAGGCATTGTGTTTTTCTAGTTATCCAGTGTGTGCGCTGTGATGAAGCTATTGTGGACTAGAGTTTCCGAACTGGGTCTTAATACCCAGAAGTTGAAGACAAACCCTTGGCTGTCTGAGTACACACCCTATAAAACCCACCATTTTCTTCATGTTTTTGCATGGCAACTTTGATGGGTACTGGGTAGTGATGAAAATAGATCCAAAGGAAGGTAATCGGGTTTTTTTCTAGAACCCTTTTTTTTCAGTTTTGTTAGATCAACATAACGATAATTTTGTGCTTCAATTGTATACATATTTTTGTAGATTGATGGGGCTAATGATGATAATTTAATTATCTTAGCGGATTTCAGTGAGATATTATATCCATGATCTGATTGTTACACACACTGAAGCCTTTTGTGCTCATTTTTCTAGTTATTTTCCATGAAAATATTGTATAGATTTTTCAATGAATGTTTTTTGAGATTTTCGTGGTTTTTAGAGGGATGGGTTTTCTGTGATGAGATTAGACATGGGTGTTTTGGGGCTGTGGACGGGTCATAAATGTCTCGCCGTGAGCCCAATTTCTTAACGACTTCTCCTTCCACTGAGTATTTGTCCCATTCATCCGCGAATTGTTCAACATGGAGTATTTTACTACAGTAACAGCAATGTTATTTTGATTGTAATTTAGCATCAAATTGGTAGCCCAATGATGTGGTAGCTGAAAACATTTTATTGGTTTGTGGGTTTTGCCACATCATTTGGGTCACAATTTTGGTCCCAAATGATGGTCACTGTAGCATTTCTGTTCTACCAAGTAAAGTATCTCGACAGCGTGCTTGATGGTAAAAGAGTGAGATAGGGAAAAAGAGATATACTAGTGAAAACAGAACAGAAGAGAAATCAGTAATGACTACAGAAGTTGAATACACTTGAAAAGGAAGTCATGAGTGGTTAAAGGATAAAAGTAGGATTGTTATAAATATTTCATCTGAAGGTTCAACAAAAACTAATGCATTCTTTTAATGTTAAGAAGTGTGCATTGGTTCGACCATCACACACCTTCATCCTTCAAGGACTTTATACGAAATATGCATAATAGCCTTGTTTTTTCTTTTACCCTTTAATTGTATTTAACTCCCTCACCAATTGTACTCAATCATAGAGTCATTCTAAGTTTATTTGTTTGGTGTTTTTTTTTGGTAGTTTCATGACTCTCTCCCTATCTCATTTTTTTACAATCATGCACAGGGGTTTCCAATGGAATGGAGATCAACCTTTCTCTTCCTTTATTAATTGTAGTAGATTATCATTGTTTTCTAATTGTATTTGTCCTTTATGATGGTTTTTATTTTATTATCAAAATAATATAAAATTATATCTGGTAAGACATGGAATCCATGGAATCGCCGGCCTAATAATATTGAAAATAAAGTTTAGGCTTCAAGTCCCAAATTTTTAAAAAATCTCATAATCTTAGTGACTTAACTAGCTCACAAAATATTTAAATTCATTAAATTTTAAGCCTTAAGAAAAAGTCCCAAAAAATTAAGTCTAACAAAAAATTTTATTGTAATAAAATTAGAAACCAAAAAAAATTATTGTAATAAAATTAGCCCTAATTTAATCCATAACATTTGAAATCAAAAAGTTAGAAGTTAAAAATACAAAAAATGTACTTAAAAATCAACTCATATTTATTATCTCCCATTTTCTTTCTCTGATAAAAAAAATAAATAAATATTGAAATCTCTTTTTCAACAACACTAGCACATCCTTCTTTTATATCTCTCTAACATAAAAATTTTACAACTAATACTAAAAATAAAAAAATATCATTTAGTATATTCGTTTTAGGCCTCAAATTACCTTGAGTCACCCTCCATGGATATACCCACAAATAAGAGTGTTCAAATTTTCGATTGTTCACAATTTTCTACCCTACCCGACCTTACCCTATTGAACGGCTAGCCACAAAAATCGGATAAGCATAAAAGTTTTTGATCTTCCGGTTAAATCGGGTAGGAATGCAAAATACCAATCAATTTTCGCATTCCTACCCTACCCTATCCGAAAAAAATATATTATTTTTTTAGTAATTGTTAAAGTATTTGTGTGGTATAATTTATATAATAATATTGTTATTGTTATAGATGTTTGAATTGTGAAAACATGGACTTATTTTTTGTTTAGGTTACATGATTTGTGGTGAATTGGTGATCTATTGGAGCAGTTATGATTTTAATGAATTTTATATGATTTAAACTTAAGATAATTGTTATTGTATTTGTGTAACAATTATGATGGATTTATGTTCATGTTTTCTTATGTTTTATTGTTATTGTTGTTGTAGTTGTTTTAGGTTTTAGTGTTATTGATTTATTGTGTTGTTAAATTGGTGCATGTTATTTAATTGAATTATTAAAATAATTCAAAAATTAATAGTTACAAAAGTGTTTACCCAACTTTCTATCCGATTAATCAGGTAGGAATACAACACCTGATCGGATAGAATAGATCAAGAAAAAACTCTTCCGCAAAGTATCAAATAGGAAGACAGAAAACTAGATTTCCTACCCACAAACAATACCACAGCCACCACTATACAATAATCTCTCTACCTAGTTAGAACCCACCCAAGTAGAAAGGTGAAAACATCCCTGCATTTTTTATTTTCTATTTTTGAATAGATCTTTGCATCTAATTCCTCCCAAAATACTATCGTAATTTTTGATCCTGACATTATCAAGATTAATTGTATACCATCACACTCTCTCTCTCTCTCTCTCTGTCTCTCTCTCTCTCTGGGGTGTAGTTTGGCAGGATAATATTGAGCTGGTATCTTGGCAGCGCAATATTGAGCTGGTATTAACTCATGTTATACTGCTAACAGGGGTGTCCATGGGCCAGAATGGGATCGGCCCACAAAATTCTTTCGGGTTAGACTTGGATAGAGTGGACCCAAGTTCTTACTTGGATGAATTATCGGGTGAGCCGGGCTGAACTTTGGATAGAAGTAAGCTATCTATAGCATAACCTGCTACTCTCACTAGGTGGGCCTGTTGGCGCGGGCCTATACATTAGGCCGGGGGAGGGGGTTGAATTTTTAGCAAAAAATGAGGATGGGCAAAGGACCAACCTGGCCCTAAGGTAGATCCGCCTTGGTCCAAACATAATATTAAGTGGCTATTAGCAATTATGTCCCCATCTCTCTCTCTCTGCTCGTCTGTTTAGCTGTCCAAATGATTCCCTCCAAATCATCTCTCTTAATCTGTAAAATTTACTTGACTTCAACGTTATCAAGATTGACCATTTATCAGTGCATTGAAGCTCTTCAGTTCGAATTGTACAATTCTCTCTCTCTCTCTTGGTGTTGGAAGTTGGGAACGCCTTGTAAGCTGTTGAAGACAATGAGAGACTGTCTAACTCCAATTGGCCTTTTTAAATCAACTCAATCAGTAGGATTATAATACTAAGATTCCTCTAAACTAACACACGTTTGGCCACGCTAACCATAAGCCGTGTAAAGGTGTCCTTCCCATTTCTTATTAGTTATCTCGCTAACCCCAGCTGTCGTCAGGTAATCAAATCATTAATCCTTTATCTAATAAGGTTCGCTTACGAATATAAGGTGGCAAGAAAATGTTGTCATCCAATACAGTACCCATATAATCAAGGGTTTTAAGAGGCATGAACCAGGTTTTAATCTAAAGGTTGACATTATTAGTTCAAAATAAGTTGTCTAACGTTGGAACTCACGAACTAACAATTGTTGACTTTACATCTTTGTCATTGTACCAAGCAACAATCTTTTAAGTCCTGTTAGTTATAAGAGTATAATTAGTGACGTTTTAACCTATATAGGTTGGTAATTCAGTGGTCGAGTAATAAGCAACTTGTAATTCCTCAAATCTTATAAGTCAAACAAAATATGGGCTAATTAGCCAAAGCGCGAGATTTGTGGGTAATTAAATACATTGCAGTCATAAGTGTAAAGAATTGTGATATCGAGATGTATTATTATACCTTCAATTTGTGGTCGTATCCCATGCTTTTTTGCTTTTTTGTTAACTTTTGGTGTCTCGTTATAATATAGCAAGGATCAGATTTGTTGTAAATTAGAGTTGTGCAAGTGACATTGTGACATGGCTTCAAAATTTCACCTTTTTTGTTCTTTTTTCCCCAGTTTACATTATGCTATGCTATGAAACCTTAAATTTGAAGCCATGTCAGCTTCAAACTCAATAGTTGTTTTATTAGAACTCAACAGTTTCATTTCAGACAACACCAAATTCACATCAACAACTTTCTATACCGTGTCAATGGCAGCGTTGTATTGATCTTGAACCCTCAGCTTAACTATAAATACTAGTGTTTGATGTGTTTTCTAGCATTTCAGAGCACAGAGTCAAATACATTACTGGCTCGTGGTTGAAGACAATGACAAGTCCAGAGCTTCTCTCTCTCATCTTTTTTCACCTCACTCTTGTCTTTTTTGTCTTGGATCTTGCAAATGCTCAAGGCTTGAAAGTTGGGTTCTACCAACAGACCTGCCCCTCCGCCGAGGCCATTATCAAGAACACAACAGCTCAATACATCTCTCGAGCACCAAGCCTTGCCCCTGCATTGCTAAGAATGCATTTTCATGACTGTTTTGTTAACGTAATCATATGTTGTTTTCTGTTTGTTTTTGGATTTTTTTTTTTTTTTTTTTTAGGTTTTGGATTCAAACATGAGATCAGGGCGGCCCAACTCTTAGCATCTAAGTTGCTCGCCTGAGGCCTCAAATTTTAGAAGGTCCCCATAATATTTATTTCTTTAATATAACATGCCTAATTTTTTCTGTTTTATTTTATATTTTAGATATGATTAAAATTTTTAGAGCCCAAATTTTATTATTTGAAATCATTATCTAATTTTATTAAGTCCAAATTTACTCTCTACTTAGTTAAACCCAAATTTTAGAGGCATCCATAAAATTTACCATTTTAGTATAATAGTTATATTTTTTTTTTTTGTATTTTACATATGATTCAAATTTTTAGGACTCAAATTTTAATATTTCAAATCAATATCTAATTTTTTTTTGGGTCCAAAATTACTTCTTCATGTGAGCTTTGATTTAAATTTTTTTAAATATTTTGAATGTGTTCATAGTTGTATTTCACTCACTAACATAGAAATTTTATATTCATTATTTTTTGTGGTGAAAATCTATAAAATTGGTTCATTTTTTGTCTTAATATAAATTTTCAGTCCAAATAATTTATACTTAAATTGTATATGTTATTAAAGTTTTGTACTTCATGTGTGCACATTACTCATGAGTAAAGAATGATTTTTTGTTATCTTAAAATTACTTTTTACTCACATATTTTATTATTAAATTATTTGCTAAAAACTTAAATTTATGAAATTTTTTTTACAATCAACTAAGAGTGAATGAATTAACAATATTATCTATTAAAAAAAATTATTGTCAAAACTTGAGTATAAGAATTTGATCAATATTTTAAATTTTTAAAAACATAAAAAAATTATAATAATTAAAAATAAAATATAACAATAGACAAAATATTAATGATAATAAGGCCTCATATAAAAATTTTGCCCAGAGCCCGGTTCACCTTGGGCCACCCCTGCCTGAGATCAGTCACTTTGCGATAACAATGGCAAATATAGTTTATATGAATCTTTCACGCATTTTGGTTGTAGGGATGTGATGGTTCTGTTCTCATAAACTCTACCAAGAAGAACCAAGCCGAGAAAGATGCAGCCCCCAACACAAGTTTAAGAGGTTTTCAAGTGATTGATGCTGCCAAAACTGCAGTAGAAAAAAAGTGCCCTGGAGTTGTTTCTTGTGCTGACATCGTCGCCTTGGTGGCTCGAGATGCAGTTTCAATGGTAACCAACACCATACACTAGTTACCAACTTACCATACTGTTTGATAAAAAATTACTTACAAAGCTTTACCAAACGATAAATATATTATTCTCGACCAACATTTATGCAGCTATTAACTAAACTTATGATTTTCTTCCAGATCAAAGGAACATCATGGTCAGTGCCCACGGGACGAAGGGACGGAAGAGTGTCAACGGCCCAAAATGCCTTGAAAAACCTACCATCTCCATTTTCCAATATAACTCAACTAAAAGCATCTTTTGGGTCAAAGGGTTTGAGTGTAAAAGACCTTGCAGTCCTATCTGGTAATGTAAAACTTGTACAGAAAACTCTCCATGATTAATAATTAATATTCTATATCAAATTTTAACTTGAATGATACTTAATTTTGTTCTTATAGGAGGCCACACCATAGGGATCTCTCACTGCTTTCCGGCCGTCACGATCCGGTTGTACAACTTCACTGGCAAAGGTGACACTGACCCAACAATTGATCCAAACTATGCAGCTGCGTTGAAGAAAATATAAACCGGGCAATTTGACTACGATCGTTGAGATGGATCCTGGAAGCTCCAAAAAGTTTGACACTGATTATTACACTATGGTGAGTAAAAGAAGAGGACTGTTTCAATCTGATGGAGCTCTTCTGTCTGAGACTACAACAAAAGCTTATGTTCTGAGTCAGATTTCAAGTGGATCCACTTTTTTGAATGACTTTGGACCTGCCATGGTGAAGATGGGTCAGATTGGGGTGCTCACAGGCAAGTCTGGTGAAATCAGGAAACGATGTGCATTCATCAACTAATTAAAAGCTGTCTTTCCTACTTGATTTTTCTATTTAATTATTTTTTGTTAACTATGTTTTATTGGTAAATCACTTTGCTGAAGAATTGTATTTTTTTTTTTTTTGTGCCTGAATAACTAGGCTTGGCATAAATTGCTAGGTTGATCTTGTCATGTAAACAGTTGTTTAATTCTTGAAAATGTTAATGTTGGTCCTTCATACAATTCTTTATCTCATTTTTTTAAATTTAACGGTCAGAAGTGGCTTTGTTAATTTACGCATATCTTGACTACTCTCCTCTTTTGTATAGTCAAAGGTAAACTATTCACACTGAAACTAGAATATCTCATGTTTTTGTTGAACTGACCGGTGCATCTAGATCGCTTTTCCAAAATAGTATCAAATATATTTTTACTTTTTTATTTTAACGAAATGGCATTTAAAAACAAAGAGTATAAACGATGAATTTGTATAAATAGAGATTTAAAGCACTGTCACAATGGCGGTCATATAGTGGTAATTATGGTCCAAAAAGTTTCATTGAATTAATATTATATCACTTATATCATCGTGAAAAGTTATGAGTGTAACTCAGGAGGGTTGGCTGAGTTGATAGGACAATTTAGCCCAAATTCAAGTATATAATCTCAACCTTAATCTTAACTTGATCTCAACCCGAGGTACTCAACCTGAGTACTGCTCAAGTTGAATTTGGATTACTTAATTTAAGCTGATTTCGGGTGAGAATTCAAGTTAGATTCGGGTTATTTAATTTAGACTAATTTCGGATTAGAATTTATGTTGAGCTCGTAAAACTGAATTGCAAAATGTAAATCCTTTTTATAAGTTATGTTATTGAATCTATTAAAATTATATTTATTTTTAACTATGTTTGGGTTAAGCCTGATTTAATATTCGGGTTAAGTTGAATTTATATATTCGAATTGAACCTAGTACTCAAATTCAATTCAAATTAGTATTTTTTAATCCAGACCCAAACTAAATATTAAAAACGTCAACTTAAATATTAAAAACGTCAATTTAAACTCTTTTGAGTTCAAATTGAATTCGAGTTTGCATGTTCAAATTACACCCGTTGAAAAGTTGGGTCTCAAAGTCCGAGTTACAGAAATATCCGCTCTGCAAGTGACGAAAAGGTTGCTTTCATTTCACCCTCTTGGGATATCTCACAGGGCATTTTTTTGACTTTATTCCAACTCTATGGTCGTTGTGGCGGTGGAACGTGGTCCGCCAACTAATTTAGGGAACATTTTCACGTAAATCCGTAAGCACAGACCATTAGACCCATCAACAGGATAAACGTGTGAGCAAATAAAATTAATGTTGAGAAGATTATTGGGGTCTCCAACACGTAAATCAATGTTCTGACTCCAGTTGATAACCCTATCAACACTAATTATGTACATATCTAGCATTACTCCTTAACTAAACTCAGATTTTGAAACTATCAAGAGAATAATTTTTGAATAAAGGATTTCCACTTGACACGTTTGACCATGTAATACATGCAAAGCTGTTCCTTACTCTTATGTTCTTGGGGAAGGTTGTTTCCGGTCGGTGGCATCCCTGAGGCTGTTGAACCTGAAAACACTCGGGTTTGGCCTGTCACTTGACGGTGGAGTAACCCTTCTTATTCTATTAGAACAGTTTTATTTATAGTTCCAACCCTCTATTTCAGTTACACGTGAGATCCCTCTAATACGTTATCTCTCAATTTCTTTACTTGGTTGGATAACATACTATGAATTTCAGTGTGATACATTATATACAAGTAGGTCTTTCATGCATTAAAATAGAGCGGTGTAGCAAAGGTTGGGGAGATGATACAATAACCCTTAATCCACCCTTGAAAAAAAAATTATGAGTTACCTAATCTAACATTTGATACTAGCTCACAAAGGAATGTTAATCAAGCAGAATTGATGAATTTAAGTATGTTCAAGTTCGGTACCTTATTGAGTGGCCAAGCTCGGGCACAAGTTGAGCTCTACTATAAAATTTGAAATTATACTCAAGCTTCGATTGATAGAACCGTAAAACCATTTTAACCAACACGAGCCAAAATTGATCTTAATCTATTTGAAAATATTTCAAAAAATAAAATCTTAAAACATGATAATTAATATTAAAATAATCAATTTCTCAATAAACCTTAGACATGAATTTTGAAAAAAGTCTGGCAAAGAAGAGATGGAGAGCAAAATATATATGATTTGTAGCCATTTGGTAATAAGTTTGAAGGTGCTACTTTCAAACAGAGACCGTTTGATAATAAATTTAGAAGTATCTATAAGCTAGTATGAATCTAATGGAAATAGGTCGGGCTTATTTGAACTAGTCACACATTATTCGGTGTCTCTTTTGCAAGATGAGTTTAAAAACTTTGTTAAGTTTGATTTGCCATGTAATTTGAACTAGATAAAACCGAACCAACCTCAAGTTTCTTGAATCATTTAACGAATTGTAGAATTAATTTGAAAATCTTTTTAACATAATCAAAAGTCAACCATTTCTTTTGAGACCTAACGACAATACTTTGTCATCAATAAAATGATAGCACTTCCAAAACAATATAAATCGCCTGCCAAAAACTCTCATATGTCTCCTGACAATGGCTATCCGAAAACTTTTCTATGTTCTTTGTGTGTAATGTAGGGGTGCAACTTGGGTTGGGAAACCCGATTTCAACCCGAGCCCAACTCGAAAAAATTAGGATTTGAGTAAGAGTTTTTAATACTTGGGTTGGGCTTAAGTCAAAAAACTCCAACCCGAATTCAATTTGGGTTGGGCTTGGGTTAGAAAATTCTAACCCGATTTCAACCCGAACCCGACAATTTAAAAAAAAAATTATATATATATATATATATAACATTAGCACTAATGTTTCATTTTTGTTCTATCGTTTTCTGTTTCTTTTGTTCATTTTCATTTTTTTTTAGTATTAGCACTGTTAAAACTTTGTTAAAGTTATTGGTTGTTAATTTATGTGAATATTATGTAATATATGTATTAGGTTTAGAACAACAGGCATATTTTAGGCTCTACCCGAACTCAACCCGAATTGAACCTGTAAAATAACTCGAAATTAGCTCAAAATTATTAATTCGAATTCAACCCGAGCCCGCCCGAATTAAACTCGGTAAGTGCTCGGGTTGAGTTCTTCAACCCGAGGTAGGGTTAGGGTTAGAATTAGAGTTGAAAATTATATACCTAAGATTGGGCTAGGGTTGACTATCCAACCTGCCCGAGTTGCACCCCTAATATAATAGGTACTTGTTCTCTATTTGGTGGAAAATTTGTATTTATATTTGTATTGTATTCTTATACATCGCAACCTATCGCCGAGTAAGGTTATTTAATGTTGGTACCGACCTTATTCTTCACTTAGAGGTTGAGAGTTTGAATTTGGACTCTTTATTAAGGTTCGGTGGTTGACCGTTATGCTTTAACATAGCTAGGTCTGATCTTGATAAGTATTCTAAGTGACCAGAGACCTTATAATCCCACTACTGGAGGTCTAATAGTGTGATCGTTGGACGCTCATCCTTATACCCACCCCTTTTCCCAATATCAAAAAAATAAAATAAAAAACGCAGCCTCTTGTTTGTCTACATATAAATGAGTTACGTGAGATCTACCAAAAAAAATGATTGTCAGTTGACATATTCGATTCAAAATGACAATTTTAACCTCATTGCAAAAAAGTGAAATTTGAACTTTTATATGTGACAAGTGTGAAAAGGGGGTATTATAGTCATTGTGTATATTATACCGTTGGTGAGCATGATACCTGCTTATTATACCAAGTAGGTGGTGGCTTTTTGCCTTTTTGTCTTCTCAAGGCAATTGGCTTTAGTTTTATTTTTTTTTTATGCTTTTCTGACTTTTTGGCTTTCAATACTGTAATGTCGCCTCAAATTTCAAATCAATGACACAAAAAACAAAAAAAAAGATTCCAACCCAAAAAATAATACTTACCATAAAAAACAAAACAAAGTATTATGAGAGAAGTTTGGACAAAATAATGTTTATCTCTACCGTATTCTATTTATTCCCTGATTTGGAAATACGCTTTGGATTTGGTATTATTCGCTACACCCTTGCATATACTTGGAATAATGTGATTACTGCCATAATTGTATTGTTGTGTCATTGTCATAGCCTTCGTTGTTGGCCTCTAGGATTGAAATATGAAGGCATTGTCTTTTGTAGTCAATAGCAACGGAACAGAGGGTGGCAAAAGAATGTACCATAATTTCCAAAAGAACCCGATCAAAGTCTTAGTGAGTCTTATCATATGCTCACAAATTCATTATAATATGTATAATAAAGTTCCACCCTTTTGAAGAAGAAATTGTCATTGACTAGAGGCGGGCCCCAACTGCACCGAAAATCATCAACGGGTAGGGGGTGGGATGGCCTACCCTCAAAAACCTAGAGCCTACTACGGCCTATCCATCAATCCTACCCGAATTAACATATTCATTTTCAATTTTTTTATTTTTTTAATCAAAATTAAAATGATTTTTAAAGTTTTTTGATTTTTGTAAAAAATCAAAAAATTATATGGCCTTATCAAATGGGCCATCTTTGCAGGCCTTAATTGGCCCAACCCATCTGGCCATGGGGCCACACAATTGGGATCTCTCACCGCCTATTACTGTCCCTCCCAAATGGTCTGTAAAATTTCATCGGGCAAAGGCGAGAGAGACCGTGCATTGGATCCCAATTATGTCAAGTAGATGAAGGAAATATGTAAGGCTGGAATTGTCGGCACAACACAGCGGATGGATTTGACAAAGTCCCTCTATGACGATATCGTCTCAGACCGGAATTGACAATATTGTTTGTTGATTTTTATTTTTATTTTTTTTGCTTGTAAAAAAAAAAGGGTTAGAGCAAAAGAAAGCTCTCAAAGATCACTTCCATAAACTCTCACCGGTGAAATCATGAAACCTTTAACTA